CCGATGGAATGGAGGCAGCTGCAAAATCACTGCAAGAGACCTCCTGAAAGGCAGGGACTGTGGTGTACACTCATCTGCACAGAGGGCCATGAAACCTGCACTGGGGAGACCTACTGAAGTTCAAGTAATGAAATACAAAGTGCTATGCTCTGTAACAAGTGCTAGGAGACAATTAAACTAGTGAGTAAGGGATGTGGCACATCTGCTTAATGTCTTGGTTTTACCCAGGACCGGACATTATGGTAGAGCAACGACCTTGGTGTGTGGTTTGCTTCTGTTAAATGATGATGTCTCTCATTTAGTCCAGGGGACCCTCCTCTGGGCTCCTGGCAGAACATTATGAGATACATTCACTTACTGCTGCTCTCTGCCACAACTTCTACCACAACACAGCACTCTCAGAGGCTTTCCAAAGACTTTTTTTCATTAAGAACAAAATCAAAGATGTCCTGCTCTGTGGCAGGCACTGCTGATGTAAACTGTTCCTATTTGGTTTACATTTAACAGCAGGACTGCACAGGGTATGGAAGTCAGAATGCGGAGCAAACTGGAAAATGTTCAATAACGATCTGAGCTTCAGGGACTGTCAGTTAGCAAAAGACGGGTGTTAATTAGGATGAAGTTCTCTACCTAGGAGGAAAAATAAGTGCAAGTATGAAGTAGGCATATGAAACCACTGTTTTCCTACCTGAATAGCTGTGGGAAGGCAGAAGAGAAGATCTGAAAAGTGTTCCTGAGGGCATATGGTACACAGCATGACCTTTTCTTGATTTTGCTTTTTTTTTTTTTTTTTTTTCAAAATTGTTCTGCCTCTAATGCCTTTTCATATCACAAAGTTTTGGGATTTCCCTTTCCTGGCCCGGTGGAGGCTCTTGCTATGAAGGACATTGGCAGCCAGGTTGCAGATTCACCTCTGACTGGAGGCTGAAACGGGAACTCGGCAAGGAAGGGACAAACTGAGAGCAGAAGCACAAGGACACATGGGAAATCCAGAGGCAGAGCCAAGGCAGGACACCAGAATGCCTGTGCCCTGTGGTGGAGGCAGGAAGAAGGATGGCACAAAGGGGCTCAGGGCATGTTTGGCAACACACACAGCCATGAAGGCTCTGTCCCCATGTGCCTGGGTGTCCTCTGAGCAGCCAGCCCAGTGCGGAGCCTCACGGCATCCGTGAGACAGCAGCTCCCACCACTGAGCCATCAGCTGCTGACCTGTGACATAGCATCAATGCTGTGCGGGTTACAATGATGTGACAAAGAACTTGACAGCCTGACAGAGCACCTCCCTGTTTTCAAGTCCTTCTTCTATTCTGAGGTTCTTTGTCAAGTATGTGCTGACAGTTCACTTTCTTAAATGTGCTGAACTCCAAAAATACAGGTGAAGATTGCCCCAGAAACAGACCCACTACAAGCTGTGGGTGCTGCTGCCATTCAGGCAGCACCTTGTGTGCTTGTGATCACTGGGGATGCTGTGGTGTGTCCTCCAGTCACAGGAATGTTGAGCAAACTGGAGGGCTCACAGCAGCAGAGCTCAAAGGGATTGTGTATTTCCCTGTCCTTTGCAGGGGACAGCATTTACTGTGATTGCAGATCAGTATCAACCTCTGCCAGTGTGGGCCAAGGTGGTGACAGAATCCATGTACACCCTCCATTGTCTGCTTCTGCAGGGAAGGAGGTACCTTGGGAAGCCGAGTTACAGCACTTCCCCCTGTTAGCAGCACCCCTGAGCTATTTCTTCACTCAAATGCCCATTTGTTCTCCACATAGCTCACTGCATCTTGCCTCTTCACCCTGATGTCAAAAATGCTGAATTGTGAAATATCAGGAACTTGCCAGGGGTTGAGCAACATTTCCAGGTGTTGATGGGTGTCATTTTACCTCTGAGCCTGGAAGTGGAATGGAGAAAGGGTCTGGGCAGCTGTCCCGGCATCATTAATTACACGGGCTGCAGCGTTTCAGCTCCTTTAGAGGGAAAATCCTGCACAGAAAATTAGACCTCAGATGTGGCAATTTCCTACTGTGTGTCTTCCCATGATATTTGCTACACGGGAAGATAATTTAGTCTGCTCTAGAACAGATGCTCCTTGGGGACCTTTTGGTAACCTATGGCAGCCTGGAGAGCCTCCATAGAGTCTGGTAGCTGCAAATGGGTTTCTTTGTGTCTACTTGCTTCCTTTCTCCATGAAAAAGAGCTGCCATTGCCATTAAACTCTCTTCTCATTGCTATTTCATATTTTTCAGCCTACAAGGAGAAAATGAAGGAGCTGTCTCTGCTCTCCCTCATCTGCTCCTGTTTCCACACCCAGCCCCATCCTAATACCATCTACCAGTATGGAGGTACGTAACGCGCTCCTAATGATCTCGTGATGCTCCTGCAGGCAACGTGGGAGCTCGTCAGCATGCTGGGCTGTCCCATCCTGGAGCAGCCATCCATATCTCAGCCTGGGGTCTTTCTGTTTAGTCTCCTTTCACAGTTTATTCTATTAACGTCACCCTCATTTTCCCAGAAAGAAACTGCTTGCAGAGGCTGTCTGCTTCGTACTGGGGTGACATACAAGATGTTAACAGCGATACGGCTTTTCTTTAATTATGCTGTGGATTTAAATTAATTGCATTCACTTGGAGGGGGGTGAAGCTGATCACTAATTGGGAAACTTTGGAGATAGAACAAGATGACCCAGGTCAGGATGTGGGAATAGAACAAAATGACCCAGGTCAGGACATGGGAACACCCTAATTCCTGTGTGCAGAGCTCGGTGCCCTCAGGTGAACGCTATCTTGAACGTCACAGGTCCACAGAGCCCCTGTTTTTTTTCCCCCCAAAGATATGGAGGTGAAGCAGCTGGATAAGAGGGCATCAGGCCAGAGCTTTGAGGTGATCCTGAAGTCCCCTTCAGATTTATCTCCCGAGAGCCCGATCCTTTCCTCCCCCCCCAAGAAGAAGGACCTCTCCCTGGAGGAGCTGCAGAGGAGGCTGGAGGCTGCAGAAGAGAGGAGGAAGGTAATGAGATGTCCTGTAGAAGCAGTGACTTTTCTGTGACAGGTACTAATTGCACCAAACCCTAGAACTGGCTTAGCAAGAGCAATCTGAAATATCTTTTTATCATATTCCACTATAAATTGTCAGGTGAGACATGGGAGTCATGGAGTGAGGTTTTGCAGCCTGGTTTAGGCAGAAAATTGGACTTGATGGTGATCATCATCCTCCTGTTCTTAAAACCACGCAGTATGGGGTCCTTTTGGTCTTCTGCATGTGACCTGGCAGGGGGGAGGCAGTTCTTGCCAGCTGATTCTGCAGGAGATGTCGCAGTTGGTCACACACCCGACTTAAACTTCAAACCTAAACGCAGCCTTGGGTTCCTAACAGCTGACTGTGCCACATTTTATTGCGAGTGATGTATAAAATGTCTTCTGGTGAAAACTATTGAAAAGGAGAAAACCGGAAGATTAAACTGAAGTGTAAATGTTATGAATGTTGGTGGGTAAGAGGAAAGCAAGCTGAAATAATTCAAAGAGTGAGGTGACACTCGGAGAGGGGACTCTGATCCATGTCACCTCAGTTTTGCTGAGCCGGTAGGTGCAGCGTTGTATCGCCTGCCCGCCCGGAGCACTGGACCCAGCAGACATTGCCTCATAGCAGGACAAAGGTGTCAACGCATCTTCCAAGCAAGAGTGTTATGGGATGGAGGGGGGTGGCGGAGGACTTTTGAGCAGAGGTCAGGAAGCCTCTCTGGAGCTCTTAAGGCTACAAGAGCCTCTTTGGTTGCCTTACACCTCTCCTGACGCCTTGCCTCGGCAGACCCAGGAGGCGCAGGTGCTGAAGCAGCTGGCGGAGAAGCGGGAACACGAGCGGGAGGTGCTGCACAAGGCGCTGGAGGAGAACAACAACTTCAGCCGCCTGGCCGAGGAGAAGCTCAACTACAAGATGGAGCTGAGCAGGGAGATCCGCGAAGCACATCTGGCCGCCTTGAGGGAGCGGCTCCGCGAGAAGGCGAGTGCGACGCCCCGGGAGAGGGCTGGGTGCTGATGCCCATGGTGGGGTTTGGGGTCTGGTCCCTGCGGGGTCGTCCCAGAGCGATGGGCCCAGGGGAGCGGGCGTTTCATTGCTGGTGGGAAGCAGCTCTGCTCCGGAGCAGTACGAGGAGGGGGAATGTGTCCTTCAAGGTCGGTAGAGAAAATACCGTCTGGCTGATCTTGTTCAGTGCGAGTTTAAAGGCACAGGATCGGGCCCACCCCACATCCAGGGGCTGCATGGCCAAAGGGCTTTGCAGACGAGGGGAGCCGTGAACGCATTCACTGTAGGTTTTCATCACCTCCGGGCTCCCGCAGATGAGAGGCTTCATTCATTGCAGGTGTAACCCACTGTCCTCAGGGTGTGTTGGATGGGAAACTGGTCTCTATTTTTATTTATTTTGCTGATCCAAATCCTGTGTGCAGGAGAGAAGGAAGATAGAGATTAAAAAAGCAGAAAGTGTTAGCCTGGTGTCCTCTCTCCCGTCTTTGCAGGAACTGCACGCGGCTGAAGTTCGCAGGAACAAGGAACAGCGGGAGGAGATCTCTGGATAAAGGGCTTTTCTACACATCTAGCACCTGATTCCTGTTAACAAACCAACCAATCGACCAACCCACACATTTTATTTTGTTTGTCTAGATGCGACATTCGGTTCTCCATCCCCCCCTTCCCCGGTGTTTGTCCCCCAGCTACACGCTTCTCTATCTCTGCATCCTTAATCGTCAGTACTTGTGGGGATTCACAGATCATAGGGACCTCTAAGCAGAATAGCAACTAGTTCACATGAAATAGAGAATTGATCAGTCAATCAAACAGCTTCTTTGGAGGGTTTTGTCCTTTTTTAAAAAAATATTTCTTAAACTGATGTAAAAGAAGATTAAGATATTAATAAATTCAACCAGCAGTGTCACAGAGATACGGATTTCTTATCCGGGGCTTTTACTCCTCTTGGTGTTTGCTCTGAGCCAAGTATCAGTTTCAGAACAATGGGAAGTAAGTGATAATTTCTGTGTGTGAAGTGGAATAGGGAACAGCCCCGTGTTTGCCAGTGGTAGGAGAGAGGAAAGAGAGGGATGGGATGGCTCAGGAGTCGTGGCGGGCGTGCAGACCCCCCGTCTCGTGGCTGTGTCTGGAGCCAGCCCAGGCAGGCAGTGACCCGGAGTCCTCGTCTTTGGATGATTCTTTGATAGCCCAAGTGGAAGTAGGTGAGGGTTTCCACCCAGAGCTCGGTGCTAGGTGCCACGTCACGGAAGGTCCCCGTCACGTCAGGCACCGCCTGGTGCCCCGGTTGGCCACGGGCTGGAGGAGCCCATAGACTGAGCTGCCCTCTCCCCAGCAGAGCAGGGACCGAGAGGACTTGGCTGAGCAGTTCGGGTGAACCGCAGATGGGGATTGCATCCCTGCCTGCGCAGGAGCCCTGGGAGAGGACACTCGGTCTGCAGGCTCTCCAGCGCTCCCAAAGCACGAGGTTCCACTCCAGTAGGAAAGCAAATCTAATAGAGATGCTGCATGGTTGTGAAATAGCCTTTTAGCGAACTGAATAACCATCCTTCTCTCTTTCCAAAGATGTATGTGGCTCTTTGGTGCCGTTACAGGGGAGACACCGAGACCAGAGATCGCCAGATGAGCCCCGGAGCTCATCAGGCAGCGCCCTGGGAGGCAGGACATGCCAGCTGCCTGCCTGGTACCCGGTACCCAGTCCCTGGGGCTTTGGACGAGGGGGAGCTAAGAGGGGAGCAATTCCACAGTAAGGGTGAAGAGATGTCCCCGTGCTCATTCCTTTATCTTTAGCTTTTCAAGGGCTATTTTTAAGAAAAAAAAATTGTCTCTTGATGGAGGTAGGGATGAGCAGAGAACATGCAAGCGTGGCAGAAATGTCTGACCTAAATAGGTGACTGGCAAAGCCCATGGACTTCCTAATCTTCTAGAGTCGTGGCTTATGGAGGTAGCCAAGGTCCAAGCAGCCACCGTGCACTGCGAGGGGCTGCCACTCTTCCGCTGAGATCCACACAGACCTGCTCGTCTTGCCCCGGCTCTGCCTCTACCTTGAAAAATTAAGTGGAAATGTTGCTTCTGAAGAGCAGGGAATGGCCACCTGCGGGCGAGCGGGGCCTGGTGGGACGCCGTGCCGGGGACTCAGCCCTGCAGGAACACGGTCCTGGGGCAAGTTTTGCAGAGGACACGGTGGAAGCTGCTTTCGTTTGAAGCAGAAGGTAACGAGAACTCCTCCCTGGCCAGAGCTTAGAGATTACTGGGTTGTTATTTTTTTAACAGACCGGTGTGGTGTTTTGGGAACAGGGCGCAGAGTGCCTGGGTGGTATTTACGCCAGTGCACCGCTCCCCTCCGCTTCGCGATGGCCTCTCCGTCCTGGCTGCCCCCTCAGACCCCAGAATAAACCAAAGGGGCATCCAAGGCACTGAGATGTTTCATTGTTAGTAATTGGGCTCCTCTGCACGCTGTGCCGCCAAAGAGCCATTCTGTGGGTGGGATGAGGGACTCCTGCGGTGGCCTTTGCAGGATCCTTGGGGAATAATTTAATTTAAGCGCACAGGGGGTGCAGACGTGGGCACGGGCACAGCGCAGCCCGGGGCTCCTGGGAACCGTGCTCTGCACGGCGGTGCCGGGCAGCGATGAGTAGCTAGAGCAGATGAGGCGTTTGTACGAGGAATAACGGTCCCCTTGTCCCTCCTCCCCTCTGAAAAAGAAATTGTCACTGAGTCTTGTCAGAAGCTGAAGTTTTCTGCCTACCCTGTGCTTTAATTAGGTAAAGAGTTGATTACAGCCTGGGGTGAGCATCAGGCGGTCGCGGAAACCCCACGGAAAGCCAAAGAGCAGCAGCTGCTGGAGATCAAATCCTGGGGCTCTTTGCTAATCTCCCCAGAAGTCCCAGCAGGATTCGGGAGAGTTCCCTCCATGGCCACGGTTTGATGTTAGGGGACACTCTGCTCCTAAAAGGAAGGGCTACCTTACTCCCAAACCCCTCTGCCCGGGCAGGGGGGGAGGACAGGACTGTTAGAAAGCCCCAGCGCTGCCCAGGGATGAAAAAGATAAGATTTGGGGCTAAGAGGAAGGAAACTGAGGGTTGAATTTCTTAACAGTAGCTAATGATCAGTTTATAGTAGCAGCTGTCTTAGATAAGCATCTGTGTAGAGCGCGGCATCACCGCCAGCATCACCTCATTCATATAGTGACGAGAAATTTTAAAAAGTTTAAAAAAAAAAAATTTAAAAGTAATTTAAACGAAATGTTTGTGTGTAAGAAATGGTTGAAACTGTCAAATGTCTGTGTCCCGCGTTGGTGGGATCTGAGAAGGTATCTGCGAGATATTAACCCTGTCCTACTCTCTGTGGTGCTGAGTGTTTGCTTGGTGTGTAATTCTGACCTGGAGCTTGTTGTAAATACTGTTTTTAGTACTATGATTATTATGATTATTATTATGATTATTATCAGAAATGTTGTACTCATGAGCAGGAGTTTAAAACAAGAGAAACGACCATTTTTCACTCCCTCCTTGGGGCTCAGAAGCAGTTGGAGGCTGGGCTGGGTGAAGGCAGGGTGCCGGCGGGGTGGGATGCCGGACCAGAGAGCGGCTGGAAAATCATGGAGTCGGGAGCTGGAGGCAGCCGAGTCCTGCGGGCAGGGCGGTGAGAGCGGGAACGGGCTGCTCCTTGTGCTGGGAGGAGAAGGAAGGGTTGAGAGGTGGAATAGAGGCGATGCTCCAATTCTGGTACGTATAATTTAGTGTTAACCCCAACCTCCATGTGTGAGGGGGTCCAGGCTGTTCCCTGCAGCTCTGGGGGAAGCCGGAGGAGCCGTGAGGTTTGGCGTGTGCTGAAGAAGGAGCGGTCGGTGGCAGATTGTGCTGGTTAGAGCCGTCCTCCCCAAAGAGCTACTGAGTCTCTGGACTCGGTTCCTGCCTGGATCTTCCATTTCGGTCCTTTGTGCTGCCCCGTGCCCGCTCTCCTCCCCCTCCCTGGAGGTCAGCCTGGAGCTCAGGTGGGGAATTATTCTTGCAATAGCTTTGTCTGGCAAAAAAAAAATCCCATGGGAAATGCATAGGAGAGCGGCCCGGCTCATGGTGCTCATGCAGGTGTGAGCACTGAGAAACTCATTTTTCTCACCTCCGTCGGGTCAGTGCTGTGAGGGACAGTGGATGTGGCTGGAAAACGTGTCAGGGTAAGCTCCTGTGGCAGAGGAGCAGGGATGTGCAGGGAGACTTTTGCATCGGTAACGTCAGGGGACCGGCTCTGTTACTGCTGCTGAGACATGTCGTGCCGAGGAAACAACCTCATCCGTGGGGCCAGATGCTTTAGGTGTAGCAGAGCAATGTTTCCCCGGCGCAGATGAATGTAGTAGGGATGTTGGGGAGCTCGACATTTGTCCGGTGCCACTGGACGCTATCAGGGAAATGTGTGATTGCTGTGGCTGTGTGCCCCAACTCCCGTGCTTTCGGCCGGACGAGGGGTGTCCACCCACCCACCGCGCCGCTCCAAACCCACGGGGACGGCGCTGCCGGCGCCAGTAGCTCACGTGGTGCCAGGCCTGACCGGCAGCGCACAGCACAGTCCGGGATCACAGTTATTTCATGCATTTCCATCTCCCAGCGTTGCTAATGATTGTGTGCAGCAGCATACTTCGTGCCTCAATTGAGACTAATTAAGTATCCTCATTAACATCCTTACCATCCCAGCCTCCCTCATTCCCAGACCGTTCCCACATACCGCAGTCATGGACGTGGCATGCAACCCCCCCAATTCCCGGGGCCACCTTCCTTATGGCAGGGGTTGAGGTTCTTCATTGATTCCTGTAGACGTTTATTAATCAAGCTTTGTAACGATGGTTAGCAGCCCCATTTTTGCAGCAGCGTATGAGCACGAGACTTTGTGCCTGGTAGGGAGAGCATCCTCGAGGCGGCCGGCAGCATCCCTGCCCGGACCATGACCGTTTGCAGTTGTGTGAGGGAGGAAAGACGAGATGGCGGCAATTTATTACACGCATGCAGAGACCTTTCAAAGAGCTATCACGGAGAAGGGCCTCTGATTTGAGCAAAACAGAGAAACTGAAGCTAAATGAGTTCCCAGCTGGCACTGACAACCAGGCAATGAGTGAAGCTGCATGAGAGCTGGGACAACTGGCCTTGTATCCCAAATTAAAGCTCTGCGCTCACGTTATCCCTCAGTTCTGTCCATAAATGGGTGCTTTCAAGGATGCTGGCCCCTCAGACTGCTTCTGGACTGAGCCTATTCCTTATCTTATTATTTTTTGACTCATTAAAAAATCTTGCTCTAACCCTGACGTGGGGTTAACTTTGAGTTGACCTTCCAGGGATGGCGGCAGCTCACGATTGCATGCATCCTACCTTGGGGGTAGGTCGGTATTGCTGCCTCTTTTAACATGTAAACTTCAGCTTGCTTGCTTTTGCTTAGCCCGGCGTGACTCTCTGGCCCCGGCTCTGCAAAGCCCGTCTCATGGGATTCGTTTAATCCCGTCCCGCTGCATTACTTTCTTCCCTCGCGGTGGCTGTGCACTGGGCTGTGCACACGCGCACAGAAATGCATATGTGGAAACGATATATGCACGTACACTCTTATACCACTTGAAATGAGTCAGGGAATGGCTGTTTACGGTGCTAGAGATTTCTTACTATCCATGCTAGGGATGAGATGACATAGTAAGACCAATAAACTCCACCTTTGTAGTCAGTTGTCTTTAAGTAAAGCAGAAGAGGGGCACTGGCCAACACCTACGTTTGGGTGCTCCGTGGTCCCCGGGGTGCAGGGATGCAGCCGCCCCCATCCGCCGCCAGGATGGTGGGACCCAAGCACAGGGGGCAGCTGGGCATCCCAGCCCCGGCATCCCCCGTGCTTCAGT